CTCTCTCTCTCTCTCTCTCTCTCTCTCTCTCTCTCTCTCTCTCTCTTCCATTCTCTCTCTCTTTTCTCTCTCTCCCTCCCTGTCTTTTACGTGCTCGCTTTGTCCCCTTGGCTCTCAGTTTGCTCTCTCTGTCTCTCTCTCTCCTTCCCTCCTTTTCTCTTACTCGTCTTACTTTGTCTTCGCACATCGTAATTACAATAGTCTTTTTTTAATATATATATATAATATATCCATAATCTTATTACATATACACTAGCTGGTTACAATAATTTGTGAAAAATATACATCAAAATTTTGTTACTTTTTACATCACAGATATTTTAATATAATATATCTTCTTTTAATTCTTAAAGATTTTTCTGTTCCTCCCCGTATATATTCGACCAATCCGTCACTCGCCGGATTGTTTAGCGTATCGCCCGCGACGAAGGGAGAGACGGTAGGACGTGCACTGGCACGATCGGACGAAAGGACCAAAGGGCTCCTCAGAGTTCCCCGAGGTCTCTCTTATGCGCGCGATTCTTCGTCGTGTGCCGCAGGCGTGACAATCGTCGTCGCGTCCCGGAGACCAAGAGACTTCTCGGACACGACGGGAAGATGCATCCGCGGGAGAACGTCCGCGAGACGTTCCGATTTCGCGGACGTCTCGCGTCGAACGCGTCCTTGGAACATTCCCGTAGCGCGACTTCGATCCAACGACCGTTCGATTTCCCAGTTCGATTGTCTTCGGGACGGGACGGGACGAGAATCGGCGAGATCGCGCGACGCGCAACTGCAAATGCGCGCATGAAAGAGGCCTCGAGCTCGATCTCCCCAATAACGGAGGACAACAATGCGATTTCGATTCGAAGTGGCTGCCGCCGTGCCTCCTCCGTCCCGCTGTCTCCCCCGGAAAGAAAAGAACGAAAATCGACAGTGCTTCAACAATCGCGTCTGCAACGGTACTACCTGCCTAGCCTCGAGTTCTCTGACTTCCCCTCTCCCCGACGATCGCGCACAGCAGATTTTCTCTCTCTCCCGTCTACGTGGATTCTGCTCGAAGAGAGTCGCCGAAAAGATAGACAAACGTCTCCCTCGATCGACGCGAATCACCCACCCCGCCCTCCCTCCTTGTTGTCGCGCGGGGGGAAACGTCTCTCGCGTCCCTCCCATCGGTCGCTCGTACGGACGACGATTGCGTCTCCGCCGTGCGGAATCGCACGATGTAATCGCGAGTACAGCCAAGTGTGACAACATTTCTCGGCTTCGCCGCGAGAGAAACGAGAACGGTGTGTGTGTGTCTGTATGTGTGTGTGTGTACGTTATGCGCGTCTCACCGGATAGTCTTGAGCCGCTACGAACTGCGAAAACGAAAGTTCCCGGGGCGTAGCAGCCGGGAGATCATTACGCGGACGCTTCGCTAATTGCGCCGTCGATCGTGCTAATTGTCGCGACCCAATCGTCCCGTTCTAAGCTATGCGCCTCGCGCGTAGATCGTCGCTCCGCGTCGTTGAAAACCTCGGGGCTGTCTTTTCGGCACGCACATGCCGCGTTCAATTTACGCCAATTGCGACTCACGACTCTTGAAAATTCGCGGAAACATTCGCATCGATTTCCGAAGGAATTCATATCGCCGAGAAATTGAGCCGACTGCGCCCAGAGAAATTTATCGTTAAGGTCATGATATACTTTTCCAATGCGCCGGCACGTGAATTTCATCAGATGTCTAGCGGCGAGACGCGTTAGGCGCGAGGAAACGTCATTACATCGATCGCGAATCTCGACATGCCGGAGCCGCGCTCTTTCCTCGTCGCGCAATTTTCGGGCCGGTCATGCTGACGCGAAAACGCCAGTGAAATTGCGCGACTACGCCGCTTGAGGGAGGAGGGGGGAGGGGGCGGCATATATTCCATAGAAAGAAAATCAGCAACAATTTGGCTGCCGTGACCAGCAGCTTGCGGAATTGCATCCAATTACGCGCGGACGGGTATCGCGTAACAACCGCGAGTTATTTTCAACGACGCACACGCCGATATACATACATATGTATAGTCTCTCGTCCTAGGTTTCGCGCCGTCTGTCCTATCTCTCCCCGCTGCGTAACGTTCTCCTCTCTCTCCTCGCGCGAAGAAAGAAACAACGAAAGACGTGTGCACCGCGACGTCTGCAGCCCGACGGATCGTTGGAGATCGGAGATACGCCGATTATATAGACCGCACCAAACGCGTCGCGACGAAACATCGTAACCGTAATTGAATTAACGACAATCATAGTGTGTTACGCACGTTTACTATCATCCGCACGATAAATATCATTTTTTTTCACATCTAACGATAAATCTTTCGATAAGGGGTATATCGAATTTCTGGGTGTGTCGGGTGAGGTGAATTCGCGGGTGTGTGAGGGGAGGTAAAAGGGAGAGGATGGGGAAGGTAAGAGGGTGAGTGAGTCAGTGGTCGGAACAAGTGTATAAACATACTTCCCTCCTTTCTCGCGTAATGCCTTGGTGTGAACGTTTAGAAAAAAGACTTCGAGGCATCGAGTAGCTCAGATCACACACCGAGTGATTTATCATATAACTTTTGTCTCTCTGCGAAGGGTGTGGTCTCTTGCGTGGGGTGTGAGGCGGAGAAGGGTGAGGAGTAAGGGGCAGAGAAGGGGTAGTTGGGTAGGTGGGGTGAAAGTGGGGGGGAGGGGAAGGGCTAGTGGACAGTTAAAAAGTGACTTAGCGGACACAGGGCGAAGGAAGGTTTAAATTTACGTTTACACACAATCATGATTAGCTTGCATTTCGCTTGGTTTTGCGCTATTCAGCTTGTTATTATTATGTTTTTTTTTTACTTTTTAACCCTAAGGAGACCTTAACGTTTACACTCAATAACTTGTTTCCGCGTTTACGCGCGCTTCCTTTAAAGTTACATTATTCACGGTTTTTTTGCTTTAAATAGGGTAAATTTTAAGTTTAGTTCCAAAAAACACCGAGAGAGTAGCCTTGCTTATATGGTTTACTTTTTTTCGTAGGTATAATTTTTTTTTGCGTTAATAAGGAATTTTTGCATTTTTAAAACACCGAACATACATGCCTTATACTTTATGTACAGCCTAGAGTCTTTCAGTCGTTACTTTTAAAGAGAGTCATGAGATGAGTGCGTGTGTGAATCATCCTTTTTTCGCTTCTTTCTCCCGCTCGCTGCTCTGCTCTATATCTCCCCTTCGTTTCCTTCCTTCTTATATTTGTTCGCGTCGTTTACCCCGACTACGCTCGACTATGCGAGAAAAATAGGAAATCCTGGCCCGCACTACAGCACCGTTTTTATTTTTCTATTTGTCGCCGTTTTCTCGCGTACGTCTAGCCTCCGAACCTTCCGGCCTCTCGTCCCCGTCTATCTCGTCTTGGTCCAACCGTCTGTCTGCTATACTAACGAAATGACGTCCCTTTTTGCAATGCCTATCCGCGAATCGTCTACGAAACGGAATTTCAACCGAGGATTGTGACGAGATTCCGTGACGGTCGTGCACGTCGTTGGATCATCAGAAGAACCGGATTTCCCTCTTATCACCGCGAAATATATGAGGTTGCTTAAAAATCTTTCAATTCAAAGCGGAACAATCGATAAATTTTCACTGAGCTGTTTCCCACAATCCATACATATAGCTCAAATTAAGAGAAATTTTAAAACCGAATTGCACGCGTCTACAAGCATCTTAATTTTGCGCTGGAACCACTTCAACTTTTGCACATCTCAACATTTACCGCGAACCTTTCATCGATTACTCCCGCGTACTCAAAAATCTTCCCCAACTTTCCCGTGAAAATTTCCCGTATCCTCGGAGGATGCTCGCTTCGCGCGCATTTGTTGCATCCCCCGCGTGCAGACTGTAATGATAATAACGAACGGACGCACGTGCACGACCGCGTGAATCTATGGAAAACCGAATGAAAGAGAGAGACTTGCGGCCGCTCGAGACGTCGCGACTTGTTATTCGTTCGACACTCGCGCCGCCGTTATTCCAAATCAGCGACGGATGATCGAGGCGCGGCCAAAAAGTGTCGGTCCGAAATCCGTGCCGGTGCGTCGCGACGCTGGCTACGCTGGTCTCGTGAATGAACACGCGGGAACCGGTGGAAAATAAAAAACACAGAGAGAAATACATTCCCCTAGAATCGAGTGGGTTTTTTCCCTCTAGCGAAGAAACGCTACAACGCCGCCTACATTCACGTTGCCGCAGCTGCGACAGTCTCTGTCTCTTCTCCTTTTCTCTCTTTCTTTCTCTCTCTCTCTCTCTCTCTCTCTCTCTCTCTCTCTCTCTCTCTCTCTCTCTTTGTCTCTCTCTTTTTTCTCTGTTTCCCTCTACGCGGTAGAAAATTTGTATTCGTATCAAAAAGTGGGCGTCTCGCGCTTAAGAAAAAGTTTGCGCTTCCGGTATCGAAACCGAGTCGAGAGCGGGCGCGCGCGCGTTGCAACAGTATCCCTTCTTCCTTTCCTTCTTCCTTGCCTTTTGTTTTTTGCGTTTTACTGAATTTCTCGTTCCCCCAATCACACTTTCTGAATTCTCGCGTCCGCGATTCTTTCTAGTTTCGCCTGGATTTTTGGACCGTGATCTAATTCGATAACGCGACGCCGGCAGACCGCGATCTTCGTCGCCGTGATTGCCTGCGAAAGCAAAAGCTCGGCCAAAACTTGTCTGTTTTGGTCTGTCGAACTCCGCACATACGTGCGCATGTGCGTGTGACATCGAATTTCGTGAATCAAAAGTGCATAAAAATTCGATCGATTGAAAGCTCTCGTAGTGTTCCATTGTGATTTAACTTTCAAGTGTTCTCAGATTTTATTGTATTACATAGAATATTAGGTGTGTGCGATTACGCACGGGTGCTTCTTTTACGCGGCATTTTCTAACCAGAAATGTGAAAACTTTGTTTTCGGCGCGTCCGAAACGAAACTTCTCCTCGAAAAATATCAAAGGCTGCGTTCCTTTTGGGCGCTCATGTGCTTTAAGCGCTTATAAGCGTCACTCTATCTTTCTTCCGCATCTAATGAGCGATAAAGATAGAATGGCACTTACAGGGCTTGAGCGCTCAAAAGGAACGCAGTCTATTGTCGCAACGACGCTTTATCGACTAGTGTGGGAACGACAAGGTCGCGTCTAGTCCGAAACACGCGGCGAAAGACTTTTAAGTATCTCGGCTTTCGTGGAGGCTGTGAATTCGCCGCGCGAATATTATATAACGATTCTGCCTGAACGTCGCTCCTCCGACGTGAGCCGCGCACAAATTTTCTGTCTTCGTAAATAAAAGGAATTCGTAAAAAAAAAAAAAAGAAAAAGAAATACAAACGGACGCGAGCATTCATCATCTCGGATCTCATTGCATTCCCGTTGCATCGATCGGCGAGCCAATCCGGACGAGCCAAAGGTCGCGCGAGCCCTGTCGAAAAAACCATATCGGTCGGCAATATCCAACGACGAAGATCGCGTCCCGCTATTCGCCGCGTTCCCATCCTGCCCCGTCCCGCCGCGCCTGACATGCCCGAAACGCGGGCAGACGTGTCGGACACTGGCCTCGAAACAACAACCGAGAATTATAGAAATATTGTCGCCTCGTGAAAAAACGTCATCTACGCGCGCCAACAAAAGCCTTGGCTCGTTCTCGCTTCGCACACGTTCGTAATGACCAAAAATATATGTATATATAATATATTATTCCTTATATAATTATGTCGCTCCTTACGAGTTAAGAGTAGTGTTTAATATAGTAGGTAATAAGATTTCTTTTCTTTATCTTCTTTTCTTTTTTTGTTGCATATTAGGTAGTTTTACACTCATAGAGAGGAAAAAATATGTTGTCGCGTCGGCATTTTTGTTCCATCGTTTGACCTTTCGTCGTCGTCCACCGATCGGTAGTGGTAGCAGTAATTAATAATCGTAATAATAATCATCGAGCGGCTAAGGTTTCGCGTCGCGCGTGCTCGCGCGTACACAGGTTGGCGCGGCCGAGCTGCACGGCCGAGTTTCCCTCTTCAACGTCCGCGCTGCAGGACTCGACGGGACTCTCGGGGCAGGACACCGCCGAGTTGATCGCCGAGTCCCCGCGTCCGTCGTAGATGTTGGTCGGCGCGAGTCGAAAACGCGACGGGATCGGCCGCGGAGCCGATGCGTGATTTGTGTTCGCGTTCCCGCTCGCCCCGACCTTCGACCTTTGCCTAACACCACCGAGCGAGGAGGTAGTTCTTGTGCGCGCGTCCCGTTCCACGCACGCCGAGCCCGTCGAGAGGAAAGAAGAGAGTTCTGCTCGACGGAAAGCTCGCTGGTCGAATACGACTTGAAGTTTGAGCTCTATTAGGCGGCTTGTCCGTCGGTTGTCTGGGCTGACGACGAGATTCAAGCAGCGAGCACACTCTCGACAGCTCTCTCGGTGGTGTAGCGCAAAGGAGACCCGGGGAGTACTCGGGGCCGCGTCGCCACCGCCGCCGCTCGCACGTGTAGCGACGCGTGCACGCGCGCGACGTCTAAGTATCTCGTTATGTGTTCCCCATTTTTGTATACTCTCGTTAGTGTACTCGTATATCTGTGTATATGTGTGATACTATACGTGTCTGTGTGTGTTGGAACGTGTGTATCGTTATGTGTCTCTAAAAGTTTCATGGAATGTCTGGCTCGTGGAAACGCGATTAGAATGAATCCGTGCATCTGCTAAAGTGTGTATCGTCGCGTGAGTACTCGATACGATGAATATATCACGCGTCTATATATATATGTGTGTGTGTGTGTGTGTGTGTGTGTGTGTGTGTGTGTGTGAGTATGTTATGTTCTTTATATCCGTCTCGTTCACTCGTATACTTCGGTCCGAAATATACTTTCGCCATAGTCGAAAGGATTTCCTGCACGCGCGCCTGACGCCAGGTTGGCCGGACCGGCCAGCTGGACGCGGGTTCGTACGGCGGATGTTGCGCTTAACTGGCGGAATCGCAGTGGATTTACGGTTGGTTGTACTTAGCATCGTGCGTGTCATCTTTTATCATTCTCTTTTCGCTTCTGTTCTCCCCTTCTTGCACTGGCAACTCACCTGGCAACGTTCGAGGGTTTGTTTGTTTGCCTTTTTTCTTCCGATTGGAACGGAAAAGGTTGTGGAGGAGGGAGCAAGGTCGTGTGTGTATACGTGGGATAATCGGAGTGGAGTGTTGTCGTCGCGTTGTCGCGCCGCGTCGGAGAATTCCCTTCTTCGTGCCTGCGATCACGTCCGTTCTTGCGCGCGCGACGTCTCCTCCAAGAGAGACACTCGTCTCTCCGAACGAATCCGGGAGAAAAAGTCGGGAAAAGAAAAGTCGTGCGATCGAGAGCGGAAGGGAAGGTCCGGTTCGCGGCGGCGCGCAACGGCGAGAGGGCGCACGGGATCGGTGCGTGTGAGAGAAGATGGCGGAGAGATCTGGGCGGGAATGTGGGCTTACTGTATACGGGTCTTTTCTTCACTGTGTACTCATAACTGTATACTTTACGGATAACTGATACTGACTTTCGTCTACTGCTCTACGGAGTCCTCCATGCTGAGCGCGGGGCCGCGCTGTTCCGCCGGCTGCTGGCTGCTGTTAGTCGACTCGCCGGACCTGTTGCTCGCGGTGTTGTAGCCCCTCTGCAGTTGCACGACCAGCCCGCTCACGGCAGCGTACTCCTTTTGTTGTTGCTGCGGCTGAGTTTTCTGGCTCGAATGATCTACTATAAGCTTACTATCACAGGCACTTTTTTTGTCAGTTGATACGGCGTAGAGGTTGTGTAAGTCCGGGTAGTGGTTCAGCTGTGGTTGCTGTTGTTGCTGTTGCTGCTGCGGCGACTGTTGCTGCTGCTGTTGCGACTGCGACTGCGGTTGCTGCTGCAGATTCAGAGGTTTCCGGTCCTCCTGACCGCCGTTGTGAACCTCGCGCTCCCTACTGCTGCGATCGATCCTAGAGTCGCGGGTGCTGTCTTCGTCCCTGCTGCCCGCTCTGGAGATCGACAAGGGTGTCGGCGGTGACGTCAGCCGGTCGCTGCCATCATCCGTGCGACCCCTTTCCGACGGTGAAGGGCTAAGATCGACCGTGGGCACGCGTTCTGGCCTTTCCGGCACGATTCTGCCTGACGCCGCCGCCGCTGGTCCTCGATAACTCTCATCCTCGCTGCTGTCCTGCGCTATTCGCGGCAGCGGGGTTCTCCTCGAGTTTCTGCAGAGCTGGTCGATCAGCGTTTTGCTGCTCATCGTCTCCGGGTGTTGCTGCTGCTGCTGCTGCTGCGACGACGACGACTGCTGCTGCTGACTCCTCGCGTCTGCGATCGCCCGCTGGTCCCTTGGAATGCCTGTCTCGAGGCTCGACCTGATCAGATTGTCCAGGAAACTACCGTTCGCGCCAGGCCCGTCGTAGATACTCTCCACCATGTCGCGTGGCGTCTTCACCATCGACGCGCCGCGAGAGTTCGAGGTGCCCGCTGCATCCGCCGTCCCGGCGATCCCGTCGCGATCTCGTTGCTGGTGCTGCTGCTGCTGCACCATCGCCGCGTTTCGTTGTTGCTCCTGCAGTCCGCGCATTCTCTGCGACGCGAAATACTGTTCCGGCAGGATCGGCACGTTGGGCGCGCCACTCATGAAGGGAGAAGGCATGAACGGCGTCGGGTTCCAAAAGCTGAAGGCCCCGAACGGCAGATGGGGCATGCCCTCCATAAACGCTGGCATCTTCAGCCCATTCGGCCCGGGTATGCCACCCGGCGGCGTGAACGGTTTTTGCGGCTTCAACTGCGGCTTCTTGTCGACGCCGGCGCCCGGTCGCATCGCCGCGGCCGCCGCTGCCGCCGCCGCCGTCGTCGCAGTCTCCTTCGACTTGTCGTCTGGTTGCTTCTGGTCCCTGCAACCAGATCAAGACAGAGAGGAAGCTCTGATTATATAGTGCTATTTTCAACGGGAACTATTTCTATCCTGCAATATTGTTCGTGCTTTCCGATTCTTTTAGAGAAATTTCTTATTCATCTAAAGTGAACTCTCTTCTGCTCTGAATAGTCGTATGAATATTTCCGTTTCAAATTAAAGAATGAATCTTATATACTCTGCGCAGGAAGAAATTCATCTTAATTGAATGAAACACTCGTAGGTTAATAAACCCATTCCAAGTATAAGTAAGACATCCGCTCTTGCAATCCCGGCTGACAGTATTTTTACTGTCGTTTTGAGTTCATTCGGTTTGAGTGAAATTTTTCCTTGCAAGAAATTCAGAGAACAGCATTTCCGCTACTACTTCAATTCCCGCAAGTTTTCTGTGAGACTTCGTTCCAACGAACTTAGAAAACACGACAACACGTTACAAACTATTGTATATTTGTTACGTTTGCACGCGTTATTCGCGAACGGTGGTCACTCGCGACTTGGACAGGTAAGAAGGAATGAGAAGATAAAGCAAAACACGGACACGATTGACTCACCTCTTTCGCGGTCTCATGAGATGCCGCTCCTTGACTTTGTACTCGAGGGTGGAGTGCGGCACTCCGTAATAGCTGCCAGCACGATGCACGCTCATCTCGCCGCGCTGAACCGCGCGTACCGCCTCTACGAGACTGTCCCTGTCGTAGTTCCTGTATTTGCCGCGTTTCGGCCGGGTGCCTTTGCCGCCGGTGCCCGGTTTCGGCTTGTTCGCCTCCTGCGACTGCTGCTTGGCCTGCTGCTGCTGCTGTTGCTGCTGCTGCGATTGTTGCTGTTGCTGCGGCGGCGGCTGCGGGGGTGTGTAGCGACCCCTCTTGAACGGACTCGGGTCCGTCATCATTGTTTGTTGCGGCTGGACGACACTGGCCGATTGGCAACCCGGAAGACCGGTCGCGCCGGGCGTCTGACCCTCTTGGAACTTGACGCTGATGCTCTTGGCGATGACGTCGCGGAAGTTGACCGCCACCGCTTTGCCCACCAGCGAATTCGTGGGGCTGCTGGTGCCGGAGAACGCTGGACTAGCTCGCTCCAGGAGACCCGGACTCGAGGCGGCAGCCGCAAAGCCTTGGGCGAACGCGGCGGAAGTCGGCTCGCCGTTCTTGCTGGAACAGCCCGGCGTGCTGGCGGGCTTGTAGGACGGAATTTTCAGTATCGCTCTGCCCTGAGCGCTGTCGCTGGCCTCCTCCTCGATGTTGGGATTGAAGTCGTCGTTCGTCATCGGCGTGCGCTGCTGTTGCTGCGACTGCGTCTGCTGGTGCGCGCCGAGGTGATGGTGCTGATGGTGGTGTTGCTGATGGTGCGGCTGCGACTGGTCACCGTTCACATTCTTGTTCAGCCTCTTGTCCTCGCTCATCAGCTTCCTCACCACGTCGGGTATGCGGTAGTCTCGCGTCTCGATGCCTGACAGGTCGGAGTTGAGAGGTTCGTTCAAACAGACCGCTGACTTGGACAATTTCATCGAGCATACGCTCAAATCGGCGCGCCTTAGGCGCTTGCGAATGAAATATGGCGCTATTTGTGATATTTATTGGCAAAGTGGGCGAATTGCGCAGAACAGGTGCAATGAAAAAGAAAGGTAGAGCTGATGATAAATTTGACAAAACCGATGTGAAACGTCGATGTGAAATGTCTTCTCCCGAGTCATCAGATCGCAATTCTGAAAACGGATTTCAGCTACTCGAACTAACTCGCAGTCTAAAGCCGGAAAAAGTATCGACGCGCGCGAGGCCGGCTATGGCCTGGCTTCTATCGATTCCAGAAGTCCTATCGCGACGTAATACACTTTTCGACTTTCGTCCCGTAGCGCCGATTGGCTAGTCAATGAGTGGGCAAAATAAACGACTGCTTGTCGGAAATGACCCAAATCCCGACCACCAGCGCAGCGTGCAATTCCTCTCACGACCACGGATTAATTTCACGTCGTGCACACATGCGCGCATCCGTGTCGTGTTAAAAGATATCCCACAAGTGAGATGCACTTGTTTCGAACTTGAACAAGCCAAACACTACCTATTTATTTCACCCCGGATTCAATCCGAATATCCCTTCCTCTTAGAAGCGAAGAATGAACTGCAAATCGTTCGACAGTTCGCGCGGCTATTCAGTGACGCGTCTTGGGATAATTGGACAACTTTATTTCACTTACCCAACGGTGCCGCGGCAGCCAGCATCTTTTGGATGTAAGGGCCGATGTTCGCATGTTCCAGTCCCGGCCACTCGGCCCCCGTCTCGTGTCCCCGTTGCAGCAGGCTTCTCAGGGAATCACCGCCGGTACCTTCGAGCGCGGAGAACCTGACGAGATCCTCCAACGAGAGCAGCGGCTTCAGCAGAGCTTTCTCGACTTCCTTCTCCTCTTCCGCTCCGGACAGTTCTTTATCGTCCACCTGTTAAAAACATCTTTTCTAGCGTTTTCTGCGTACTCCTCGCTCCTCGCAAGAGCATCTAAATTGCAGATTACGATCAAGTTGTCCTCTCGAGGAAAGTGAAAAGTAGAAGCTTCTATTCCGCCTACGGGCGCGAGTAGAAGCAGTGCTTCTCTTATCATCGATAGTCATTAGGCAACCGTTGCTGTTCGCAATGGCAACTTCTTGTTCGAGAGTGCTTCGTCGAGAGGTGTGTGCATGTGTGTGTTTGTGTTATGTGTGTGTGTATGTATGTTTGTCTAGAGTGTACGTGTATCTGTATCGTATGTAGGTGTCGATTGTCCATGTAAATATATACAGAGCGTTTCTCCCTAAAGTGACCGCACAGCGTATCGTGGAGAAAGAAGTATCTGGATGGAGAGAGGGAAGATTAAAAATGCGAGAAAAGATATTTCGGATTCGAGAACACAACGCGTGACGTGTCTCGCGTGGCAAGAGTTGCGTTCCGGTCTCAATTATCTCAAGACAGAGACAGCTTGAGGAGCTTTGATCTCTTAAACGTGATATTTTCGAAATTTCTAAACAAATTTTAACACGAAGAACGTCGTTAAATAAAGAAAAATCGTGACCACGCTCTTTCTCCTGCAATAATCCCCCACACTCTCTCTCTCTCTCTCTCTCTCTCTCTCTCTCTCTCTCTCTCTCTCTCTCTCTCTTTCTCTCTCTGCTCGAAGTCGAATACTTCTTTCAGGATACACGCGATCGTGTCACTTCGCACGAACCACTCCGTACGCATATTTCCATTCGAATGCAGAATAGTCAAGCGCCATGCAAGAGCTGCTAATCAGTAAACAGTTCTTTTTCCAATGAAGCGGCAAGTGTTTCGCGAGAAAGAACGTTCTCGATGCTCTCGGCAGTCACCCGACTCGGCAATAAACTCGCGGCTACCTTCTCCTTCGCCAGTCCTCTAGACAGAGGGTAACACGCATACACACATACACACACACACACACACACACACACACACACACACACACAAACAAGGCGGAATTCGCGTGGAGAAACTTATCTTCGGCGTGCGAGCGTTTCGACGAGATACGCCAGAATTTAAGTGCGGAGATATCGCTCGGGACTCGCTTAAGGCGCATGCATTGCACTAAAAGTGAAGCAACAGTCTTCTACGGCGGCGGCTGTGTGTATAAGCGCGCGCGCGCGCGCGCACGAGCTACGCGATCACACGAAATGCAGGAATGAAAAATGAGACTTTAACCGTGCATAGACCGTGCTCACGAGCTCGACAAGTTGCACCGTAAAATAGCGCCTCTCATGCTGAGGTCGACTGGGCTAGGTCGACGGGCAATTTCAAGCGACGACTATCGCAGACCGTACGCGATGCAATCGCGATTTTCGCGAGGTAAAATTCGACAGACACGGCAAGTGTGATTCGGGACATTTTTCAACGGCCGGTTTTTCGCGCTCGCTTTAGACGATAAACGCCGAGTTTAATCTCACAGCACCTTATAACAGTGTTCCCCGGCCTTGTCCGGATTCCCGCTCGAATGTGTATTTTGCCGACATAACATTTTCGAGCGCGATCCAGCCAAGCGTGTTCCCAGCGGTCGCTGGAAATTTCGTATTTTTTATTTATTTTTAGATTTGATTTCGTGACTCTCTCGCGTGCGCGTGTGTATGTGTGTGTGTGTGCAAACCACCGCACCAAAAAATTTGAATCAGGGCTTGGTGCGGATAATTTTGCGAAACAACCGAATAAAAACACATCGCCCTGGCGCGCGCACAACGTGGTCCTTGAAAAAATAAAACTCTCACGCTTCCTCGTCTCTTCAGGCGATATTTTCTCGATTTTCAAATCTCTACGCGCGCGCGCCAGGTAAAATTCATTCGCGGATCCCGAGCCGGGGAAATCCGGGCAAAAGACACTATCAGATGATGAGGATTAAATCGGCCCGGTGTGTTTAGTCCGCCGTAATCTTCGATCGCGCGCGGCCGTTTCATGCATGACGGCGCGCTCGCCCTGGAATTGCGCCTCTATTTCGGAACTGTTATTCGATCGGCCGTCGCCTCTACCGGCGCGGCGGCCCGTAATGCGCGTAACATCGAGGATGCAGAGTGTCGAGGTCCAGAAGCATACATTCACGATCACGGCCCGTCCGAAAGGAGGAGCGAAAGATCGGGAGATCCGCGCGCGGATCCTCTCCCCCTTCGTCTCTCTCTCTTTCTCTCTCAACACGATCTCTTCCCAAAAACTTACCTCGAGTCTTGCAACCTCGCGGACACCAAGTTGCCGTGTGTTAAACTACAAATAGTGAGATAAAAAAAGTTAAACAGCCCATGCAAAAGAACACTGGACACTACTGAGCATCACGGCGACCGGTACGGAGCCGCGTAGACCTATGTCGTCCGTTTCCATCCGGCATTTAACCGGACAAACAAACAAACAAACGCGCCGTAAACGCATTTCGGACCAGGTCGATACTCCTCCGTCGCTCGCTGCCAAATCGGCACGCCGGAAGCCGATATGATGGAAAAAGAAAAGGAACCGGTAAACATCTGCCAAGTCTTCAATGCGACGCGAGTGAGTGTCAGACGACGCGTCTCTTCTTGCAGAGCACGTTTCCTTTTTAGTCACAAAATCTCGGCGCGATTTTATCGTGAAACTTCGAAACATGATTCGCGTTAATTTTCATCACAGCTTGATCTAGTCGCGTCAAGAAGCGAGCGTGGAGTTTGTTGGGAAGACAGAATTATTTGTTTATGTCAGTTATAATTCACAATGAAGCTGTTTTTACGGATCGAAACGAACGAACGATGAAAGGAATTGATAGATCGACCGAGCCCGAGTTTCGAGCCGATTATCAATTTTTGAGAAACGAGACGGTCCACGCGAGATCCACGATCGCCGTGCCAGAGGTATGTTTTGGGGAAGCTTTATTCGTTCTTCCTAACCAAAACCACACTTAGGTATTTATGAACGGTATACACGAGTCTTTCCCGACGAGAGAGACCTCCCCTCTCGTGTTCGGCTTCCCACCCCCGCTCCGCATTTCTCGGCATGGTATATAATCGATTCGTTCCCGAAAGACCAGAAAGACCAACGAACGTCGAACAACTGAACGGAAGTTGCGGAAATAAAAGGAGACTCGAGAGACGCAGCGCCGCCGCTTCGAGACTGTTGTCCCGGTAGTAGATATCTCGCCGTACCGCTCCCTCGCGAAATTTCCCGTAGCCGTTTACGCCAATTCTACGCATCCTCGGCTTTTCCTCTATCCGACGCGCGCGACGAAACTTCAGCACGTGTCGCTGACACGTTCCATCAACCCCCTTGCTCTCTGCATCTCGCCCACTCTCGCTTTCGTTCTCTTTCTCATTTCTTTCTCTCACTTCACAACTCTCTTTCTTATTTTATTTCCCTGCCTCTTTCTCTCTTGCTCTTTCTCGCCCTCACTTCCTAAGTCTCGAACTATCTTCCATGATCTGTCCCCAAAACCTACCTCGTCCACTTGCGGGGGCGGAGTGGTCGCGGAGGCGTTTTGGGTCGTATTTGGTGTTGTAGTAGTAGTAATGGTGGTGGTGGTGGTGGTGGTGATGGTGGTGGTGGTGGTGGCTGGGGCGCCGGGCTCGTGAGGGTGTGAATGGGTGCTAGACAGGGACGCGTCCCTTTCGCGCTCCATCGCGAGCTTGTAGACCTTGTTGCGCAGAGTGCTACGCGGTATCCCGTAGATCACCGCCGCCCTCCGCGTGCCGAGCTTGCCGCTCTGGATGTCCCTGAGGGCAGCCTGCAACTCTTCCTCGGTGTAGGTCCTCCTGCCACCCCCGGCACTCACCACCCCCGGAACACCACCGACGCCCGCCGCAGCCGCCGCCGCCGCCGCCGCTGCCGCGGCCGCAACCGGTCCGGTCATTCGCGGTTTCGCGCGGTAACACGAGCTGAAACAACGTTAATCAATGTTATCGGGGTCTGGTGGACGGAGTCTGCGTTTTTGCCTGAAATTCACCGCTCGAGAATTGTCTGCAATGTAATTTCGGGACCCTAAGGTGAGCGACGCGAGGTGAAATCCCCCGTAACTTCGCCGAGCCAGATCGCCACGCGATATCATTCCTTGTAGACATCACTACGTCGTGAATGTTTACGAAGTATTAAGATACGTCAGAGGAAGAAGAACGGCGGACCTAGATTCTCTTGGAGCTCTCGCGAGATTATCGAGTCATTGTATCGCGTGAAAACTTAATCGCACTTCTCGAGATTTCTCTTCTGTCGTGTCCGCGATCTTCAAAACAATAATCGAGTTCGTCGATTATCGCAACAAATCTCGTTTACGTCATAGAATTCTCAACTTGAAAAACCGCTGTTGTATGAATAAGAGGAAGTAAATACCAGCTTTATTATCGAATAGGTTATTAAGATTCAAGTCGTAGAATATGGTGGGAAAAAATAAATAATGCAATAATAATGAGCATCATTCGAGTGTGTTGATATTACAAGCGAAATAATTCGCACTTCATGATACCGCAAGATCCTGTAATCCTCGTCGACGGGAAAAAGAAAAACGCAACGAAATGTATCCAGAGGCTATTCAACAATTATATTACAAGCGGAGAGGGAGGGAAAAAGGGGGGACGGTACTTGCGTGACGACCTATAATGACAGGAAAGAAGAGAATAAAGGCCACGGAATGCATTTAAAATTAGTTTCTTCTATCATGGTTGCGCATCTAAATTTTTACATCTGAAAAAATATGATATTCTCTGAAAATAACGTAATTCTGTATTAATGATCAAACTTTTGATTTCGAAACATCAATTTTCTTAAAAACGCAACTTTTGCTCATTGTAAAATAAAGTAATAATTAATTTGAAGTTCGTCGTCAAAAATCACTTGTATTTTAGAAAAAGATTATATAGCGCGCAATCTAACGATTATCACTCACAATATGATTATAAGCTATTTTTTCTTATTCTATGTGAAGAAAAAGGAGGATAATTCCACATGTCACGTAATATTGGGAAAGGGTCAAAATTTTGTGACAAAATAAGACGAAGGAATAAAGGGATAAAAAATAGTGAAATTTCGCGCGACATAATTGTTGAATGAAAGACCCCTAAGAGAACCTTTATTCGCTCCCGTGCAGAAACTTGCGCAGAGGTCCTGTGAAACAGCCACTGGGCGCTGATCCAAACAGCGGCTGGTGAATCTTGGAATATCTCGCGGCAAACATTGTTCTAAGCAGACCGGGAGATTGTGCGCGCAGTTTGATAATCACTCGGCCAATAGACACGATCGATACTCGCTCAAACCAGACGTCATAACAAAGTCAGGTTATCCATCACTTCTCGCGATGCAAGCTCACGTGTGTTCCCGTCCTCCTGGACTAACTCGAGAGGCGAGTCGCATTAAACGGCCACGTGGCAGCTTTCGACGCAAACACGTGTCCACGACGTTGTGTATATGTGTGTGCGCGAGCGCGTGAAATGGTGGCGAATATTGCGAATCCGCGCAAGTGCGTGTCCCGATGATTTCGAGACGCTGAGTCGCGCGGTGAATTAAGTTTTACAAGCGCGAACGGACTCAAGATACGCGTTAATCCGGCAATTTCGCGAGCTGTCGCGCGTAAATCGATTGCCGGGCGGGGAAAAAACGCGCGTTACGCTCTCAGATGCTCGCGCGCCTCTTTAAGTATATAGGCATATCTGCATATTTATGTCATCGTGTCACTTATACACGTGTCGTGACCAGATTCATCGTCGAAACGAGAATAACTGAAACAACGCGCGTCACCGCCTTGACACCGGGACAAGTCTCTTCGCGCCTATTATTAATAGTTTTAATACCCACTTGTGTTTCAATACACGCCAGATTTTTCTCCTTAACATTGTCATAAGTCCGCACGTTAGCGCGCGGCTACTTTTCGTAACGCACTTCGTTCACGAAATGACATTCGTGACATCATGCTTTCGATAAGTGCCTTTATTTGTGCATCGCATTTAAACATCCGAGTAAAAAAACAAAAATTGTAATAAAATTGGGAGTGTCATTAGTAAAAACACGGAAAAAGATGTCAAGTAAATGTCTAGTAAAATATGTGCCAGAAATTCTGGCCAAAATCCCATTCAGATTAACAAGATTTCTGGTTAACTTGAATTCTTCAACCGGAATTTTCTGGTTAACTAGATATTTGGTTAATCCAACCAAACATTTTTCCGCGCGTGTAGATATTTATATATATAAAAAAAAAAAAAATACATATATATTTAAATTAAACAATAATCAAGCGCATGCACTTGAACGAGGGAAGTTCGTGAACGTCGACGTGGAGTGACGACAACGCGACGGTCACGAATCGCCGTCGCGACAAAAATCCAAGCAACTCGACATTGTCCGCGATAACGAGGAGAGAAGCGGGACGATAAAATTCGCCCCGCGACGCAACTTCCTCTCGCGTAACACACAACGAGTTCTCCAAGTCGTTCTAATAGTCGAACGTCAGTCGCAGGTGCTTGCAAAAAAAAGAGCGCAAGAACTATCGACGCGGGGAGCGTGAGAGCGCTCGCCGGTAATATTTTGCGCTCGCATAAAGGAGCGCGACGTGGCACGAAGGCGATGGATATCGGGCCGGTGTAATTTGTCACAGAGCGCGACGATAAGATTAGGCGTAAGGAGAATCATCGCGAGCCGCGCTGCCGTCCCCGCGCCGCCCCCGCGCGCTCGGCGGCGGTGCACCACACACGGGGGTCCCCTCTGTGCGCGAGAGAAGTTCGTCGACCTGCATACGCGCGCTGCGCCGAGCTGATAAAAGTGCATTTCGTCCGACGGACTGGCCTCCGGATAGGTCCCGCGCGACGTCAGTCATCGACCGGCGCTGATTTATCTGCGATTTTTGTTTGTCGGCTCGTCTGCGGTTTTCGCGACGATGTGTGTATCGCGCGTGCTGATACACGGTACATACACGCGACACACGGAAGGTCGGAAACTCGGTCGCCGCGTGTCGACACCGAATCGACTCAAGTTCAACGTTCCCGTTCGTCGTCGCGTATATAATTTCGGATAAAACCACGCGTTCTCGCCAAATAAAACGGCGCGATATCTATTAATAAACGCCGGGAGATTCCGACCGTGTCGTCGATCGCTCCTTCGAGAGCGCGCTCTCGTGCGTACCGCGGTGGAAATATTACTTTTCTTCTAACCACTCAACCCTTTTAGCCCCACTTCTTTTCCAAGGAATTTCAAATATGTCGTTGCGTGCGGCAGAGCGAGTTGAACAACGCTAACGCAAAATACATGTTCCCGTTCATTGTGAGACGTACTCTCTTAAAGTGAATCAGTAAAAATGTTGCTGACTAAATCAGCAAACGGAGAATTGCATCGCGGTGATCAGTGAACACTCGCTGATTTATAGTGGAAACACTCCGACTTCACTGCTCCATCTTACATCTCACTGATTTCCCCCGGTCGATGTGAGATTTCACTGCAAAATCACGTAACACACAAATTTATTATGTGCGCTGTGCCAAATTCAACTTTCTGCGTTTGTGGCGATGGAATTAGCGGCTTCCGTGCAATTTGCATGCGATGGCTGTGTTTGCAAACTGCATCAATAATGGTCAATAACAGCTACCGTTAACTGATCCTTTCAGCGTGATTTTACTGTGATTATGCTTTAACTTTACGATCGGTTATAAGTATAGTATTTCGGTGGAGAATTTACTGATTGCTCTTTAAAAAGTATGTGTAGAAAGATTGAAATGGGAAAAGTCAATTTATAAGTAACATCGTCCGCGCGGATAGAACGTTGAGATATTTTCATACTTTATGTAGAATGGTTACTCTCTAAAATACAATCAGTGTATCCTTCACTATACTGCTATACTTCTAATCGGTGATGTAGCTGTAAGTATAGCATTCTGCGATCGGTAAAATCTTGCTGAGAGGATCGGTTAATAGTAACGACTATTCTCGTTATTAATGTGCTTTTGCGAACACAGTCATTGCATGCGAGGCGTATGGAAGCCGTTAATTCCGTCGTCACAAATGCGGAAAGGATGTAGTTGAATTAACGCATAACGAATGGTGTGTTACAGACTTTTCGGTGAATCTTGCCTCCACACAGAGAAAAAAAAATTATCAAATATTTATTAAGTAGGTACTATTAACATATTTACTTAAATCAAAATTACAAGTTAACAATACTCGGTTTAAATGAAAAGAATTTTGATTCAAGTAAGTATGCTAATGGTAGCCATCTAATAAATATTTGTTAATTTTCAAATTTTCTCAGTGCACTGATCGAAATTAGCGAGAAATAAGACAAAGCAGTAAAGCGTAAGCGTTCTCACTGAATATCGATGGATATTTACTGGTCTTCGGCGAAATAATCCTTTTACTGATTCGGTCAGGAGCATTTTTACTGATTCGCCTTAAGAGAGCACGTACACTGTACGTGAGAAATGACGTCGATAACGATTAACCGGTGGCAAAACAAATATCCTCGTTATGCTCGCGCACAATGTCCGGAGCCAAAGTTTCACGATCGATCGGGTCGATCTCGCAAATCCCCGCATAAATCACACTGGCTCACGCAATCGCGCACCAGATAGTCTCGTAATCTCGTCCTTCACGGCGATGCCAATACCTCCTTGGCCGGCGAACCTTCTGCACAAAGTCTTCCACGAACCGGTTTTACTTCAGTACTCCGGCCTGGCTTTATTGCGGCTCGGCTATTTTTCAGTATCGCGGACGCGTGAGCGGCGACAGTACGTCTAATTTCGTTTGCGGCTCTCGCGAGCACGCGCTGTCTTTAAGTGAGACTGACTGGCCTCGCGTTTCTCATTCTCTGAGCCTGCGAGGAATTTCACTCGCGAGTTATTCAAAACACCAAATGCGGACCTCACGCGCGATGGTCTCTAAAACATTGAGCACGTCTCGTAACTCT